CCTGGACATTGCAACAGTCTCCACCGCCCCGGCCCCCGGCCCCAAACCGGATTAGGATGACCTAAACCCAGGAACCCGGGCCTGCCCACAACCTGCCACACCTCACGACCCACCAGGCCCAGGGTCACTGCAGCTCTGACCCCTAGAGGGGTGGGGCGAGCGGCCCTAAAAGGGAGAGGGCTTCCTGATTGGCCAGTTTCTCTGCCTGATGCATTCTGGGAGTTGTAGTCCCAGGCAAGGCCCCCGTGGAGACAGTTCTAGAGGCCAGGCTGAAAGTGGCCGGCGCTGTGGTGCACACAGAAAGGGCGGGCAGGAAGGTGCTGACCTCCCCTCCCTTCTATGTGCCCTGCACTGTGCTAGGTGCTTTACAGGCCTCGTCTGCATTTAATATTCACAGCATAGGAGGGTGGTTAAGGCCAGACTCTGGACTGAAAGTGCTGGGGTTTGAATCCTGCTCCATCACTTGATAAAGAGGCTGGGAAGCGCTTTAATCATTCAGGGTCCAAATGTCCTCATCTGTCATATGCAGATAGTAACTGCCTTCTAGTGGTCTTTTGAGGGTTAAGAGAGAGAATGCATCAATGGGGCTTGGCAGATGATGTGCCCAATAAATGTGAGCGATCGTCATTCCTATAAATTTTTATGGATGAGGAAAGAGCACAGATGAGCTGAGAGATGTTCACTGGTTTCTTGCCAAATAGAGACGTTGGGGTTCCAGCCATCTTTGCTGGATTGCTAGAGTAGTCTCTGCCGCCACCACCTTTCGGGCTGACTCGGAGACTTTGCTTGGTGCCCGAATGACATGCCTTCGACTTGATGATGAGCTCAGACCTGCAGTATCAGCTTCTATACACATCTTTGTCTTCTGTAAGTCTCACCAATAACACACACCAGCCTCATCAACCAATCCCTTCCTCATAACCCACAGCACACAGTCTGTTGTTTAATTTGTATCCCGTTGCCTTCGATTTAATACAGAATTTGTTGTCGGATAGGCGAGGAGGGGTACAAGAGAATTGAGCTTCAGTCTCAGGTCCGCCAGCCATGTAATCTTGGAAAGGAGTACCTTCGTTTCTCTGAGCCCCAGTTTCCTCATCTGCTTTCTTTAGAAAGGGATGGGCTAGATCCGTGTTTCCTAAATGTCACTCATTATAGGGCCGCTATATACCAGCTATTTCATTATTACCTTCATATTTTAAATTTGCTTCCCTTTAAAATTTAAGTCTACTTGAAACGCTTGATATCACCAATATAAATGGAAGAAAATATAAACAGAAGGTAATAGGAAAAATAAAGACAGTGAAAAGGAAACATTATTTTTAATCATCTAGCTATTCTTGCCTCCTGATGGCTATGTTCCTGCAGCCCGATTTTCTTTGTTAAAATAGGTTCGTACTGCATGTTATAGAAGAAGTCTTAAAGGTAGTCTGGCACAAATGGAGACTTTCTTCTTAATGTTTCAGGATGATAAGACTTGGACGGGGAATAACTCTCCTTGTGTAGTTACATGACTTTTAGTGCCTCTGTATCAGATACATCACTTAGATCCCAGTGGGATAGGTGCCACGCTTTGCAGAACCTAAGATCAGATGCTCTTCAGTATCTCATCCCTTCCAAAGACGCCTTCATTCTCCATGTGCTATGGATGCCTTTCAAAACTTAGCTCAGTCCTGGAGGGAGTCTTCTGGAACCAACCCTACCCAGTTCTGCAGTTCAATGCCAGGCTCTCTGCCAATGCTTCCCTCACTTAACAGTCTACCTGTGGACACCTGCTAGTGTCAGACTCTAGCATTTTCTTACTTCTGACATGCATGCTGAGCGCTTTCCATCTAATCTTCAAGTCCTAAGTAAGGGAGAAAAAAGGAGGCACAGGAGGCCAGAAAACACGCATTCTCTGAGCGCTCCCTGTATATCCTGCATTATGTTAGAAGCTTTCATCTTCTGACAGCTCTCTGAGGTGGCTGTTATCACCCCAGTCACCTGGAAAAGGCAGCTGGAGCTCAGAGAGCGTAGTCCCTGCCCAGGGGCACAAGAAGCAGATCCTGTCTGTGCGACTCCAAAGCCTCTTTTCTCTGCGCCAGGCTGTCCCCCGGAACAGGATAGTCTCCTGAGACAGCCAACAACTACATCACGGCTCCGCAGTGTTCGGGGCCTCGCAGATCACTGGACTTGAACACACAGGTACTGATGTGCACGCGGCACACAAACACGGAGTGACCAACCTTGGGGGAGCAACATTTGTTTTCTGAACCAGAGACATTAACGAAACAAAAATAACTGCCATCACTCTGTCCTAAACGCAGGGATAGCTTAGCATCAAAAAGGAAGGAAGAAGGAAAAGAAAGGAAGGAAGGTCACAATAATTTCGAAATAAGACAAGCTTAACAGAGATCTTACTGGGTGCGTCATTTTTTTAATTCCCCTTATACTGATGCAGGCTAGTTAACACTTCACCTCAAGCCCTAACCGGTTTGGCTCAGCGAATAGGTCGGCCTGCGGACTCAAGGGTCTCAGGTTAGATTCTGGTCTAGGGCATGTACCTTGGTTGCGGGCACATCCCCAGTAGGGGGCGTGCAAGAGGCAGCTGATCGATGTTTCTCATCGATGTTTCTAACTCTATCCCTCTCCCCTCCTCTCTGTAAAAAATCAATAAAATATATTTTTAAAAAAAAACTTCACCTCGGATCTGCAGGATTCTAGATGTGCTGTGGGAAACGCCCCATGGGTAAGAGCAGAAGAAAGTGAGGCCTTTAAGAGACCTAGGGTGAACAAAAGTAGGTCAGTGGAGATAGGATTAAGACTGAGGATCCTGAAAGTCGGGGGTGAGCGGGGCTGGGCTGAGTAGGAGGTGCTGTCTCTGGAGCCCCATCTTCCCCATCACCTTGAACCCACTCATAAGTGTTTGCCAGGCCTGCCTGGGCTCAACCACCCGCCTTCCAGCTTCTGCTCACAGGACTTGAGATAGAATCGGAAGACCTGTCACACAGTCAGAGTGCTGATTGCTTCTTGTGAGTAGATTCAAACCACGGTAATTTGGGAAAAATCATCATTAAACTATTTTTAAAAGAAGGATAAACATTGTGTTTATTTTGAATAAACATTATAAATGGGGGGGGGAGATCTGAACTCAGAAAAACATAGATTGTAATAATGTACAGTATTTTCCTTCATAGAAATGTCTTGGAGCCATGATGACTACTTTTTGTGGTGTTCATCCTCCTTAAGTAATTATAGATTCCTTTTTTTTTTTTTTACTCCAGAAGAAAGTAAAACTTTAAAAGCATGATCGGCTACTTAAGGCTTGAGACTGTTACAGATGAGGCCCTTAAAACAAATCTATCTCTTTTAATACGTTTGCAAATACAACACTTTGCTGGAGCCCAACACAGGTTGTAGCTGTGGATTCTCGTGTTAATCAAATAAAGGAAATTAAAAAGCCGGTAAATTTCCTCATTAAGAGAAAAGCTGTTACAGAACAACAAGGTGATTAAGCGTTTTATGGAACCGGGTGTGAGTGCCTCAGTTAGTTTTATTACTAATTCTGGACATAAAGTCTGCATTTCCAGGAAAACCAATTGGGTAAATTATCTCACTCTTCCACTCACTCTCAGAGCCCCCATTCCCATCCTCTCCCTGCCCCTCACCAAGTGACAGTGCTGGTCTCTGTGCCTAGGGACTGGCTTCCTGCTGGAGCATCTGAATATTGCTTTGCACAGCCCTCGTGTACCCAGACCTGGCAGGCAAGGAGCATGTGCTTGGATCATTACCTAAAGAGCACGGCCGGTGTTGGAAAGACCCAGGAAATTCCCATGTGTCAGAGCAATGCTTTCCCCCCAGCCAATCACGCACAGGAAGCAAGAAGGCACGTGACTTCTGCCATGAAAGTTGGGTCCCCTGCCCACTGTCTTCTGCAAATAGCTGATGTTACACTGGGCAGAGTCATTTTCTTTTTTTCTCCAGAAGAAACACTTCTGAACTATAGGAAGATGTAATTAATGAAAACCCAAATTGCTCGCTGTGTTAACAAAAATGTTTTCACTTCTAATTAAGAGACTGCACAAAAGAAGATAATCCTGCCATTTGTGACATTTGCGACCTTAAGCCTTAAGTAGCCGAGGGCATTATGTTAAGTGACACAAGTCAGAGAAAGACAAATACTGTATGTGTGAAATCTAAAAACATTGAACTCATAGAAACATAGAGTGTGAGGAAATGGGGAGATGTTGGTCAGGGAGTACAAACTT